GAGGAGTGGCTGGTGGGTTTGAACCGCCAGCCTTCTGGTTAGCAGTCAAGTGCTTTTAGCCACTATGCTACCAGAGCTCCTTTTTATTACTGAGTCATAATAGTTTCGTATGCATTCTGAGTCTTTTATCAAATGTATGATTTCCAGACATTTTCTTCCATTTTGTGGGTTGTCTTTATACTTGATAGTCTCTGCAACACAGAAATTTTCATGAAATCGAATTTATCTTCCTTTGTACCTTGTGATTTTGGTACAACATCTAAGAAACCATGATGGTCATGAAGACTTAAACATATGTTTTTCCCTAAGAGTTTTATCATTTTAGCTTTTATAGTTAGGTCTATGATGCATTATGAGTTAATTTTCATATATGGTGTGAGGTACAGATCCAACATCATTGCTTTGTGTGTGGCTCCAGTTTATAGCACCATTTGTTGAAAAAAACCTATTATTTCCCCCATTTAGTAGTCTTGTAGTATTGATTTTTAATATTACAGCTTTGTAAACATTTGGTACCTATGAAATTACTTGGGTAAATTTATTTGTCCGAGAGGATTGTGAATATGTTTTTTTTTTTTTTGGTGAAAATTTACACAACAAAATATACAGCCATTCAACAATATCTACATGAACAATTCAATGACGTTGATTATATTCTCCACATTGTGTCACCATTCTCACTATTTCCACTCATACTGCTTTATCACCATTAACTTAATACTCTCTGACCCTAACTTCTCATCTGTTCTTTTGAGGTACAATTGTCTGTTTGATCTCATATGGATAATTCTTTGAAAGAGTGCAGTGCTCAAGGCAAACATTTTTAATTAGTTGAACTAAACTATTATTTAGTTAAAATATGACTTTATGAGATAGTTTCTATTCAGGGGATATATGTTTCATGATTTTATTTATACTTCCTACAAAATATATTTTCTACCCTCTGTGAGATCTGTCAATTTTAAAAAATTTTTATATAAGGTAAAGATGCTGGAGTTCTTTCTAAACATAACACATGTTTTAATATAAATGAATTATTGTTCGTCTACCAATAAACTGAACAGTTGTTGTTATTCTGTTGTTAATGAGTTGCTCAAAAAGGCTTTTAATGAATGACTATTTTAACTCTTCATTTATACCAGAAAAATTAATTGCAGGGGAATTCATTTCTGATCCTGTAGGATGCTTTTTTTGGTCTATTGCCTACAAAATTATTAACGTTTCAGTTATACCAACAAAGATTAGAGGTTAGAGAGTGGAGAGATAAACAGGGAAAGGAAAGAAATGAGAAGAGAGTTACTTATCTTGAATTAACACAACTCTGTATTTCTTTTATGTGAAACTAGACTTAAACAACTTCCTGACTTGAATTTTAAGCTACATAATAGTTCAGGAGAATCAGTACAAGGCTGATCCCTATGCTGAGGAGGTTAAAGATGTCCTAAATGTCTAGCTTTTCCAAACTGCTATACCACTCCATCATCTCTAACATCAGCTATTTCTCCTCTCCTCAGCTCTCTCCCTCCAATCTTTGGGTTCTGTAATTTACTGCAACATCTCACAGAACTCACGAACCACCAAGGAAATGGGTCACGCAGTTGTGGAGCCTGGCAACCCCAAGCGTTTGGATCAGGTATTAGTCTAGAGGAGTCTCCTCACTTACATGCCTGAAGAACCCAGTCGGCAGGTCAGATGATAGGCTACTGGCTCACAAGGCTGCAGAAGCTGGTGAATGAGGTCAGACAGTAGGCTGCTGGCTCAAGTTCCAAGAACCGGATGTTGGATGATAAAGAGCCAGATGTAGGACCCAGAGCAAGACAGAGAACTTTACCAGAGCATTCATATATATTTGATATATACCATACCCTCATGGAAACCAAGAGTGGTGACTTGAGTCACACCCTCTAATAAAGAGGTGACTTAAGATACATCCCACCCTAATCCTGCCTCATTATCGTAACAGACAACTTATTTTTAAATGGGGCATAGCCGTAGACATGTGTTGTTGTTATGTGCTGTTGAGTCAGACCCGACTCATAGTGACCCCTCCTTGAGTTTCTGAGGCAGTATCACTACAGAAATAGATTGCCCAACCTTCCTTCTGAGGAGTGGCTGGTGGGTTTGAACTGCCACCCTTCTGGTTAGCAGTCAAGTGCCTAGGCAGTATGCTACCAGAGTTCCTAACCATAGGCATAGAGGCTAGGATTTACAATACATCACAATATGGAAAACTATGGCTAGAACCAGTGGTATTAAAGGAAGTAAGTCCAAGCTGTACTGAAAGCATTGGCAAAAATCAAGGCTCTAGAAATTGACAATACCAATTGAGATGTTTCAACATGCAATGCTGGAAGTATTCACTCATCTTTGCAAAGCAATTTGGATAACAGCTACTTGGTAAGCTGAATGTGTGCCCATTCCAAAGAAAGGTGATCCAACAGAAGGCAGAAATTATGGAACAGTAACATTAATATCACATGTAAGTGAAATTTTGCCAAAAATAACTCAAGAAAGGTTGCAGCAGCAGTACATTAACAGAGAACTGCCAGAAATTCAAGAAGGGGGCATGGAACAAGAGATATCGTTGCTGATATAAGATGCATCTTGGCTGAAAGCAAAGAATATCAGAAAGATGTTTGCTTGTGTTTTATTGACTATGCATAGGCTTTCAACTATGTGGATCATAACAAATTATGGATAACATTGAGAAAAATGGAAATTCCAGAACACTAATCGTGCTCATGAAGAACTTATATATAGACCAAGAGGCAGTGGTTTGAACAGAGTAAGGTGATATGGTTCTGTTTAAAATCAGGAAAGGTGTGTGTCAGGGTTGTATTCTTTCACTATACTTATTCAATCTGTATCCTGAGCAAATAAAGCAGAGAAGCTGAACTATATGAAGAAGAAAGTGGCATCAGGATTGGAGGAAGACTCATTAATGAACTGCACTATGCAGATGACACAACCTTGCTTGCTGAGAGTGAAGATGACTTGAAGCACTTAGTGATGAAGATCAATGACTCAGTCTTCAGTATAGATTACACCTCAATATTCAATGTATATGCTGAGCAGATAATCCAAGAAGCTGGATTTCATGAAGAAGAACATGACATCAGGATTAAAGGAAGACTCATTAATAACCTGAGATATGCAGGTGACACAACCTTGCTGAAAGTGAAGAAGACTTGAAGCATTTACTGATGAAGATCAAAGACTACAGCCTTCAGTATGGATTGCACCTCAACATAAAACAAAAATCCTCATGACTGGATCAGTAAGCAACATCATGATAAATTGAGAAAAAAATTGAAGTTATCAAGAATTTTCCACAATGAATATCCATGGAAGCAGCAGTCAAGATATCAGATAATATAATGCATTGGGCAGATATGCAAAAGATCTCTTTAAAGTGTTAAAGAGAAAAGATGTCACTGAAAATTAAAGCTGAATGCTTAACCACTGTGCCACCAGGGCTCCTTGAGTGTATAATATATTGAGCTTATCAGAAGTGTAGATTGTAAAGTTTAACACACATTAATGGTTGCAGCATTGGAAACATATAATACAGAAAAAATTGATGGTCAAAAAGTGGATAGAGAGAATGGTTGCACAATTTGAACGTAATCATTGTCATTGAATTATATATATATGTAGAAATTGTTAAATTGGTGTATGCTTTATTGTGTACAATTTTAAAAATCTAGCACACACACACAAAAGGAATATTGGATAAGTGAGAGTTGGACTGGAGATAGGTCATATATTGGGTGTATGCCTTTGGCAGCTGCATTAATCACTCAATGACTCTTTTGTGCCTATGTTTCTGTAAGTGTGAAGATTCTAGGTTTTGAGGCTATTTTTTCCTACATAAATTCTCTGTTATGTGGTGTTAGTAACTTTACATTCCTTCACTTAAGGGATAAATACTTGATAAATTCTCTAATGATGGTTCCAAAGGGGCAAGGAGGCCCCATCTTCTGACCACCTCTAATCCCCCAAGAGGAAGACAATCACCATCCGTAAGCCCAAGGCCTATTCCTGCGAGGTGAGACATGCCACCTCCCTCAGCCCTTTCACCAACCCTGACACCAGCTGTTCCTCCCGCAGGACCTACCACCTCTGCTGCATTCGATATTGCTGCAGTGACCACACAGAACTCACAGATTTGGGGGTTTATTAGGGAAGCAACAGGCTACAACTCAAGTTCAGGAACATAGTCAATCTGTCTCCCAGCTGGCAGTGAGAGATTGCTTTCTGCCTCTAGGACGGCTTCTTTTGAACCTGGCAGGGTGACCAAACTAACCAATCCCAACATCAGAATTCTATATACCTGGAAGAGAGAACTTCCCAGGAGATTGCTTCATGCCACTTGCAACAGAAATACCCCAGGTGGATAACTTTAAACAATCAGGAGCTACTCAGTTCCTCATGGCAAATTCCACAATGGAGTTTACAGACTTAAGGCAAGAAAAGCCACACTATGTAATTTACTACACTGCAGATGGAATATAATGAGGTAGAAAAGGGGGGGGGGGATGACATTTCAGTGTTAATTTAATTAGAGTTGCTAAAATAGCATGTATTTTTGTCAGTTCCTGATTTGCTTTTCTTTTTCTTTACAGCAAAGTACCCAGAGATAAAATCCTTGATGAAACCTGATTCCAACCTGATATGGATTATAATTATGATGTTCTTCACCCAGTTGGTTGCATTTTACTTAGTAAAAGACTTGGACTGGAAATGGGTCATATTTTGGGCATATGCTTTTGGCAGCTGTATTAATCACTCGATGACTTTGGCAATTCATGAGGTTTCTCACAATAGTGCTTTTGGCCACTGTAAAGCTATGTGGAATCGTTGGTTTGGAATATTTGCTAATCTTCCTATTGGTGTTCCTTATTCAGTTTCTTTTAAGCGATACCACATGGATCATCATCGATACCTTGGAGCTGATGGCATTGATGTGGACATTCCTACTGATTTTGAGGGCTGGTTTTTCTGTACCACTTTCAGAAAGTTTATATGGGTTATTCTTCAGCCTCTTTTTTATGCTTTTCGACCTCTGTTCATCAACCCCAAACCAATTTCTTACCTGGAGATTATTAATACTGTAGCCCAGATTAGTTTTGACATTATAATTTACTACTTTTTGGGAATTAAATCTTTAGTTTACATGTTGGCAGCATCTTTACTTGGTTTGGGTTTGCACCCAATTTCTGGACATTTTATAGCTGAACATTACATGTTCTTAAAGGGACATGAAACTTACTCATATTATGGGCCTCTGAATTTACTTACCTTCAACGTGGGCTATCATAATGAACATCATGACTTCCCGAACATTCCTGGCAAAAACCTTCCACTGGTAAGTAAAGGAATCAATATGTTATTCTAATTTCTCCTGGTCATACAATTAAAATTAGGCTTGACTTGATTATTTCAAAAGCAATCTAGTTTATCCTGTCAGTCTAGGTTGCTCATCAAAAGAATAAAAAGAGTGTAAATCCTGAGTTTCTAAATTTCACAAAGGATTCACTCCTGGATCCCTAAACCTAGTGGTTACATTATACTTCAGCTTTTAAAATGTTGAAGGAGCTGTAAAATCTGCTAACTTGTAAAACAGTTCAGGAATAGAAAACTAAATCCCTGTGAAATAAGCAAAGGTTTGTGTAACTTTCATCACCATTAAACTGAGTAGGCTTCACTAAGGCTTGTATCGTGGCTTATTATGAAATACAGATCTCCTACATAATTAATCTGCTTAAAAATAAATAAACATCAGAATTAATACTACAAACTTGCTGACGGCAAGGATGATGTCTGTCTGTTTCCTTTAGGATACTGTGGAGTAAATGAAAGAAGACATTTGGCCCTTATCCTTTCCAAAATGACCACTTTCCTTACTTTTTATCTTCCCAGTGAATTCTCTCCTTAGCCTTCTCATCCTCAAAATGGGTAGCTTTTGTGATTCTATTATGAAAAAATGTTTCTGTAATTCTAACTAGTATGGAATGTAGTATTAGTATTCTTAATTTTTTTTTTTTTTTGCCATGATGTAAAGTCTGATACTTTATACGCTTCCTCGTAAGTTTTTTAATATTGATTGTTTTAAAACTCATACACAACATCACAAGTAAATGGTAACATTATTCTTTATGGATCCTTAAATGAGGACAGAGGGAACTATAAGGGACAGTAGGTCAACAGGGAAAATTAGAATCTAGACTCTAAATTAGATGATTTTAGGTTACATGATATTGTGTCAGTGTTAGAGATACATGTGGAAATATTTAGAGGTGATATATTAGGGGTAAATTGTCACATAATGTCTGCAGCTTACTTTCAAAAGGTCCAACAAGGAAAACTAGGTGGCTATTTGTACAAAGGGAGAAAAACTACAATAGTGTTAATAATTAGTAAGCGTAGGTGAAGGGCACTTCTCACCAAGAAGCATCTTTCGAGTTGTATGATGTAACTCTGGTACACAGCTATTTTGTGTCAATTTGCATGTGCCACAAACAAATGGGAGTGTGCAGCCTTTGTTTGCCTTCTTCCTAAATATGGAAGTGAATTTTTGTTTTTATTTTTTAAGAGATTTTGGAGAAAGTGTAAGGAAAGTCAATCACCCTTTGAACAAAATAATTTTTTCCAATATGAGCCATATACTTGTCATTTCCTTTGAACAGGCCCAGAGCTGACAACTTTGTTCAGTTCAGAGGTTTCCAAATTCAGGGTCATGGGAGCTCTGGTGGCGTAGTGCCTAACGTATTGACTGCTAACCAGAGGCTGGCCGGTCAAACCCACCAGCCACTCCTCGGAAGGAAGATTGGGCCATCTACTTCCATAGAGATACCACCTTGGAAATCCAAGGAGGGGTCGCTATGAGTTGGGAACAACTCAACGGCAGTGAGTTTGGTTTTGGCTTTTTTTTTTTTTTTGGTATATCATGACTATTCATTTCCTACTCCATTTCATCCTGTCTTCTCAGTCCTTGTCTAGTTAACAAATATCCCCCTCTTTAGTTATCCTTTTCCTGCCTCTTCCATAGTGTGTACCAAGGAGTATCTTGTTCTGTTTTCATCACAAGACCTGGTATTTAGTTAGTTAATAGATAGGCAATAGTAAGGTTTTATTTCTTGAGCAGCTTTATTGAGATATAGTTGACCCACTTAGAGTATACTACTCAGTGGTTTTTAGTATATCTACAGAGTTGTACAATCATTGCCACAATTCATTTTAGAATATTTTCATCACAATAACAAGATTTTTAACTTAATAACTTACTGTATTTTTTTAAATTGAGCTTTGCTATTCAAAACACTTTGTTGTTAGGTGCCAGCAAGTTGGCTCTGACTCATAGCGACCCTATGTACAATATAACTTTAGAGAGTGTATTTTTCTATTTGCTCACAAATAGGAAAGTAAGTAGGTATAAACTTTTACTTGTTTACATTATGATTTATTATTATAATGTATTCTTAAGGAGTCTCTTGATTCAAAATACTTACTCAGGATTTAAATTGACCCTGTCATTTTACTTTTTCTGAAAGATAGTGTCTTCTCTGCTCTAGCAGTTAAGATAAATAGATTACTGGCTTTGACATAATAAATTCAGTGTGTATTATTTTAATATGTGTAATGTGTTTGCCAGTAGCTGCTGTTGAACCCCCTACTCAGCAACCCCATGTACACAATAGGATTGGATCTTTGTGATCCATAGTTTTTGTTGGCTGATTTTTGGAAGTAGATCACCAGGCCTTTCTTCTTAGTCCACCTTAGTCTAGAAATTCCACTGATGCTTGTTCAGTCTCATTGCAACATGCAAGCCTCTGTTGACAGACAGACTACGCTTGAAGTGCGTTGTGTGTCACGTAGATCCTCCTTATGTAAGAATTTTGAAGGACTGTGATCTGAGAGTAACACGCAGGTGGTTTTTTTTGTTCTTCTTTTGGTTTGTTGGATTTTTGGCAAGAGCTACTGGTTAGCTAGAGATAAGAGGCTAGTTAAGAGATGGCAACAATATGTTGTACCCTAAGAGGTAAAAGGAGCTCTGATGACACAGTTGTTAAAACATTCGGCTGCTAACCAAAAAGTCAGCAATTCGAACCCACCAGCTGATCTGTGGGAAAGTCAGCTTCTGTAAAGATTTACAGCCTTGGAAACCACATGGGGCAGTTCTACTCTGTCCTTTAGGGTCGCTAAGTCGAAATCTACTCAGCAGCAGTGTGTGGTCCAAGGTATTGCCCCTTTGGATGACAGAATTGTACACTTGCTAAGTGTATTCCACAATAATTAGCATTTGCAAGCTCCTTGAAGGCAGGGAGACAGGTGTTACCTTTATATCCTACAGTGGTACCCACATATTATGCACTTAAAAAGTAACAGATGAATTGAATGCATGTAGTTATTAAAGAATTCAAGTGCCAGGTTTTACAAATAAACCACCTAGCTCCTCAAAGCTTGATAGGAGAGAATTAGTAATCCTGGAGGCTAGCATGTATGTAACTATTGAAATGCTTACTGCTTTTTGTTTAGAATTCCTGATTGATTGATTGAGTTTTACCCCCTTTTGAGAGGGAGGAGGGAGAATGGGTTCATGGTCACGCTTTTGAGTGTTTTCATGAGGCAGTTTCTATAGTATTCAACAAGATCCAGTAATAGTTATTACTCATCTTGCTGTAATTTTTCCCTTCTAGGTGAGGAAAATCGCAGCTGAATACTACGACAACCTACCCCACTACAATTCCTGGATAAAAGTTCTGTATGATTTTGTGATGGATGATACAATAAGTCCCTACTCAAGAATTAAGAGGCATCAGAAAGGGCAGGTAGTGCTGGAGTGAGCCAGAGCAATTCTGTGAAACTGTAAAGTAACTGATAAAGTGGAATTTTTGTGTACTAAGCTTAAGATCAATGATGTATAGAAGCTACCCTGGTAGAGTTTCAGAGTAGTCTCCCCAGGGTCTCAAGAAGCTAACATAGCTTTAAAAGATCAGCCTGTCTGCAGTGTCCCCTTCACTCACAGGAAAGACACTTGTTCCTTGGATTGTCATTGTTTAGGATGTTTTTACCTGCACCTGTCATTTTGTAAGCTTATCATTAAAAAGCTCTATAAAAGCTATTGCTACCATTATTTTCACTATAAAACTATACAGTTTTACTTTATTAAACCAGCTAATAAACTATTAATCACAGTATATTAGTATTTATCATGTTTCTGTATTTCTCTGTCTACACTGTATAATGTAACTTGGTATCCTTGTTATGCTTGTGTGTCAACTTGGCTGGGCCTGGTTGAGTGGCTGGGCAGTTGGTGGTAGTTATTCCCCATGATGAGACTGGCAGTCAACTCCATGGTGGGATCTACCACAGGCAGCTGAGTAGCTGCCTTAGGGAGTGTGGTTTGCTTCCTGTATATAAGGAGAAGCCTTGGGGAATGGTCTGTAGCTTATGGCATGCTTGGACCCTGCGTGTAGCCATGTCATTGTTTAGCAGCCTCCCATGCTCTACCGACCTTGGGACTTAGAATGGACTTGAATTAATGGCCTTCCGTGTGGTTTGGTAACATTGGGACTATGCCATTTTATTTGTCAACCTTGGGCTTATTAGCTTTAGCAGCCAGTAGCTGTGTGAGTGAAAAGATGCCTCTGGCGTCAGTGGGCCAGGGGCAAGAGGCAAAGCTGAAACCCAAGGTCAGGGAGCTTTCACACAGCCCCTAGAGCCTGGCACTTTGAACTTGGACTTAAAGCCTCCAAACTGTAAGAGAATAAACCCCTGTTTGTTAAGGCCATCCCATTTGTGGTATATTCTTGTCAGAGCAGTACTTGGTAACCAGAACACTTGGTTACTGGATACACTTACTTAAAATTTGGGGGTGGGGAGAAGGCCTGAGTTGTCATAGTATAAAAGGCTAAAATAGTAACATCTTGTACAGTAAGCTGAATCTCATTTTTAATTTTAATTTTGTACTCATGGGACCTAAATAAGACACTGCTGAGTCCTGTTCAGGCTTACTCATAAATAAAGTATTTATTTAATGTCCAATATTCAGCTTCCTCTTTCAGATGCACTCTCAAACTACAAACCATTCAACTGGTAGTTTCATGTTACTTCATCGCAGTGGAAATTGGTTGAAATTTGATGGTAGGTTGTTGTCTCAAGAATCATGGGCTGTTGAGTTGGCAGTCCTGGTTATCTGAAATGTGTGACTTGGATAAAAATGTAAAATTTAGTGTTAAAAAAAACCATGGGGAAGTACCTTAAAAATAATGTATGGTATCAAAAACTCAAATGGTCTACAGTTTATACACATCACCAACCTTCAGTCATCTTCAATATAAGATATAAAAAAGATAATAAAGAATTGTTATTTTATAAACTATATTGTTTAAAGCGAAACTCAGGTGGAGTGAAGAGTAGAATACCTGCTTTACAGATCTCATTTCTTCCCCTAAGGACCTTGCTTTCCCTTCCTGATCCTCTTCCTGGCAAAATTCCTAGTATCCTTGAGTAAAGAACCATGGATTTAAAGTTTAGAGTGATAGTAGAAATAACTTCAACTCACATTTACTCTGTCACTAAAAATGTGTTTGTAAAATGTACTCATGCATTTGATGCTAGACGTTGAACAGATCGAGGACTCTCACCATCTCAGCTCCTCTTGGCTCACTTATCTTTCTGTCTGTGGACTGTGGCCAGTGGCTCCAACTGCCGCATAAATCCTAAAAACCCAAATCTTTCCCATTACCTATCACTTTTTTCCTGAATGGATGTTTCAGCCTTCAGTGGCTTTGCCCAAGTTTTCCCTTCTACTCTGATTCTCTTTCCCCATTTCTAGGCTGGTTAGCTAGTCCTTCAGGGCTCATGCCAGCCTCTGCCAGCCACTCGTATTCCCCAGCAGGTCTGGTGCCAGTTTGGGCACCTCTCAGAACCAGTGATTACTCATTCATGGCCCTAACCATCCTATTCTGTAAATATGCGCTCTGTTTCCCCCACCTAAGGGCAGAGATGATCTTATTTCTCTAAACCCCAAACCTGCTTGGTTTAAAGGAAGTGCTTAATAAATGGAGAGACAAAACGAGTCCTTGAACTTGAGAGGCTTTTCCTCTAAAAAAGCAAAAGGGCATTGGATAACTTTTGCTTTTGTTAACTGTGGTCAAGTCAACTCATGGTGACCCCATGCACAGCTGAAGGAAATGTGCCATCCTCATGGATGAGCATCAGACCATTGTGATTCATAGGGTATTCATTGGCTGGTTTTCAGAAGTCCGTCATCAGGCCATTCTTAGTCTGGAGTTCTGCTGAAATCTGTTCAGCATCACAGCAACAAGCAAGCCTCCACTGAAAGACAGGTGGTGGCTGCACATGAAATGCACTGGCTGGGAATCAAACTCCCGTCTTCCATATGGAAGGTGAGAACTCTACCATTGAACTTCCAATGCCCCTCAACCTTTAAATAAATGTATATTTAGAACAGTGGACATTTATTGAGAATCCTTAATTTTTACCAAGCCCTGTACCAACCCTTTTGCATGCATGATCTTACTTAACTCTCAACTTTTCCATACTGTAGTATTAGTAACATCTTCATTTAGTAGACGAGTAAATGGAGGCCTAGAGAGATGGAGTAACTGGCCCAAAGTCACACTTAATAAATTTTAGAGACAAAATCTGAAATTCAGACTATTTGACTCCAGAGCCAAAACTACACCACTGCTTTGTATATTTTGTCTAATGAACCTGGCCCCGGAACAGGAATGGGAAAGGAAAAACAAAAACCACAGCATATTCCCATGTATTACCAAATATGTGTCTTAATGGCTACTTTCCATGTGCCTGCAGTGTTGGCTAGATCCATGGATTTTTTCAACAGAAAACAGTTGTCACTGAGTCCACTCCAACTCATGGTGACCCTGTCCATGTGTGTCAGGATAAAACTCCACTTCGTAAGATTTTCAGTGCCTGAGTTTTTGGAAGTAAATTGCCAAGTCTGTCTTCTGAAGCATCCCAGGGTGGACATGAACCTCCAACCTTTTGGTCAGCAGCCAAGCACATTAACCATTTGTAGCACCCAGGGATGTCTTTTAACTCTCTTGTTGCTAAGAATATACACAGCAAAATATTTACAAAATTCAACAGTTTCTATATGTACAATTGACTGACATTGTTTACATTCTTCCAATTATACAATTACTCTCATCTTCCTTTTCTGGGTTCTTCCCCATTAATAATAGGCCACCTAAAGTTCCTATATATCAAGATGCTGTTGTCAATTTGAACTCATATAAATAGATCTTAAAAACAGTTATGCTCAAAGCAGACATTTTTTACTAGTTAACCTAAGCTATTGTGTTTTGTAAAATCAACTGTCATGGAGTCAATTCCGATTCACAGTGACCCCTATTGGTTTTCCAAGGCTGTAAATCTGTACGGAAGTAGACTGCTACATTTTTCTCCCATGGATCAGCTAGTGGGTTTGAACCCACCAACGTTTTGGTTAGCAGCCACATATGCCTTAATCACTACACCACAGTTCCCAAGTTATTTTTGGTTTTAAGAAGACTTCAGGGAATATTTTTGTTTTAAGGTTTAAAGATTTATTTCTGGGTGATGGTTTCAAGAGTTTGCCCAGCCTCCATGAGATTCCATGACAATTTGAAATTTTGATCTGCATTTTCCCCCTTTTGATCAGGATTCTTCTGTCGCCTCTTTGGTCAATTTGATCTCATATAAATAGATCTTAAAAGCAATTATGCTCCAAGCAGGACATCATTCAGTTCTTTTGGTCTCATGACAAGCGGTTGTTCATAGTTGTTCATGGCTATCAGACAGCCACACATTCCATTTCCTCCTCCTATTCCTGAATCTCCTTCCTCTGTTGCTCCAGGTGAATAAAGACCAATTGTACCTTAGAAGGCCACTTGCAAGCTTTTAATAAACACCCCTGGCACTATGCAATGAACGGAGAGGTAGAACAGAAGCACTAAGTGTTATTAGGCCGATTAACTGGAATGTCCCATGAAACCATGACTCTAAACCTCCAAACCAAGGAATGAGATTCCATGAGGTGTTTGGTTGTACATAAGCAGCCATAGCAGATACTGTTTGTTTAGTCATTATTGTAAATATGTCTGTCACACAACTTTTGCCAATTCAACTTTAACAGGTGTACAATTTACTGACAACAATTACAATAATTGGCTTTGCAGACTTATCATTAATTTGTATGATTTTTCTATTACCATAAGAAAATCAGTGCTCTATAAGCAGTAACCCTTCTTTCCCCCTTCTCTCTTGCCTCTGGTTACCACTAATAAACTTTGTATTAGTTTTTAGCTATATATTTGTCTTTTCTTGTTTTTTCATATAAGTAAGGTAATACAATATTTGTCCTTTTGTACTTGACATATTTCACTCAGCATAATGTGTTGAAGCTCTATCCATACTGTACTGTGTGTATCAAGACTTCATTTCTCTCACTGGCTGAAAAGTACTCCATTGTGTGTATGTACCACATTTTGTTTATCCATTCATCCATTACTGATGGGCATTTCGTTATTTCCACTTTTTGGCTGTTGTGAATAGTACTACAATGAACATTGGTGTACAGGATCTCTGACTCTCTGCTTTCTAGTCTTTGGGGTATATAGCTGGGAGACAAATTGCTGGGTCATATGGTAGTTCTATTTTTAATTTTTTGAGGAACTGTCACACTGGTTTCCAGAAGAGCATCACCATTTTGTATTTCCACCAGCAATAGATAAGGGTTCCAATTTCCCCACATCCTCACCAACATTAGTTATTATTTTTTTGATCTTAGCCATCCTGATGGAAATGAAATTGT